AAAAACTCGGGCGTAAACCCATTCCCCACGTATAAATGCATACACTGCAGTGCATACGCCATACGGTGCACAAGGCGTTACTCGTTAGTGGTTAGAGGGCCTTGGCGTTCGTGGTTGAGTCGGTTGAGTCAATGGAAATGTCCTGAACGGTGCTTCCACCTTGCGGTCAACACTGAATCAGCGGTTGGGCAGCTGAGGGCGCTGTAGTCGGGATGAGCAGGGAATGGGAAACGAGGGAGAGCCACTGGTGATGATGGCGATTACGTGCGATCATTGACATGTCAAAATGCTGCTGGTGTGCAGTGAAGCCTACTCAATGTGAAGAGGCACTTTTATACCCTATCATCCATTGACCATTGGCGAATGCAAGTGTCTCTGAGCCTACAAGCAGTAGCGGCGGAACACCTTCAATTAAGGGGGCACTGCCGACTTTTGGTCCCATTCTTTCCATGCAACGCCCATAGGGCTAATGTTAAAATGCCAAAATCAAAGGGGGGGCACGGTGCCCCGGTGCCCTCCCCGTTCCGCCGCCTATGCCTACAAGAGCGACATCTGGAGCTGGTTCCCGGACCCAAGGCCCTATATACTCCCGGCTTGCCCGGACCCGTAATAAGCCGTTGCCCAGGGATTCATGCTGATTGCTGATGTAAATGATGAAAGTGAGAATAGGTCTGAAGCCTTTACTATGCATTCACATCCATTAGGTATCCACTATGCTCCAGCACACCAATTTTGGCCATTACGCAATAACCCTCGTCCCTCGCGCTTTGATCACGTTCTGGGAACGTGACGTCCGCTATGACGAATGGACGCTACGATGCAATTTCAGCGTCTAATAGAATAAGATGCATCTATTTCAATACTTTGAGAGTCATGCAACAATCATACGAGGTCTGAAACACAAAAATATTCCCAATGCATAATATTGGGACAAAAATATAAAAACTATATTCCTTAGCTTACTAATCCCGTGGATGTGTTTCCGGGTACAATAGTGCTGTCTTTGATTTGATTTAATCTTTTGTTTTGATGCAATGGGACTTTTCACTTATTTGTTATTTGCAGGAAAATAAATTATTTTTCAAAATAAATTAGACACTAAATTAGACTATTACAGACAAAAATGAAACCAAGAACAAGCTTTCCTAAATTTTGCTATATGGTGCTCTACGGTGAATCGGTCTTTCCGGTGAGTTCCTCCGCAGGGAAGGTTGTCAGACGCCGGGTACTTTGCATTTTCAATTTAGCCGATAAGTAATCGTTGAATTGTGACACAATCGGTTCTGTTTTATAAAGTTCGACTGAACAAGTACCCGAGCACCACGAAACGTTCTCCAGGTAAGTATTCTTCGATTTATGATGTCGAATCGCACTGGCGCCTTCGCCGCGGTGGTGCGTAATTCAGTCGGTGACACACCAGGGAAATAAGCTAAAATAAGAGCGCTCTATTTATTGCTCCTGTCCCATGTTGAAGAGATACCCCTAAAAACGTGATCTTTTATCGGCCCTTACGCAGCAAGGCAGTAATTCTCAGACCGGTGGATGGTATCAATAGAAAGAGAATGCGTCAAAGATTAACATGAATTAATTAAAATAACATTAAAATGTTAATTAAGCGTGGAAATTAGTCCCAAACATAAGCTACTTATTGCTCCTACCTCGGCGACGGCGCTCCCCGCAGTCGGCGGAGAAGCTAAAATAAAAGCCACCATCCTCCTCCGTAAGTCAATTTTAGAGCGGCCGAGTGGGCCGATGCGGGGCCACCAAACTGAGGTGAGACGTGGCTAGTAATTGCAAACCGCCATAGAAATCAATATCTTAAGACGTACAATATGGAATGATTACTCTGAAACTGGAGTGAAAGCATGAGTAGATTGCAAGAAACGAAATGCATAGATTGGTTGAATTATGTACAACTACAATAGGCCCAGCTCAGATGAAGCCATTTCTATGATGTTGACATATGACATAACCCTTCCTCTCCTCACCTATGACTAAGTGCATTGGCAGTTACCGGCATAGTTTTTGAGCACGAGTGTAATTCGCAATCGGACCGCAATACATGTTGCTAGGCTGCTGCAATTACAACGAACATACGAATACTGCCTTCATTTGTAGACGTTTGTTTTTTAGGCGGTCTTTGACGTGCAAGGGGGCATACCTGTCGACAACTTGAGTTTCTCCGAATTTCAAAAACTCCCAGAATTTCAATTCCTTATGCACTGTTGTAGGTACAGCTATGTTCACAAGTTTTCGTTTCCTCCTGTTCTAAAAAGGATGATATTTGTCGATTTCGTGCGTCGCTGATAGGAGGGTGCGTTTAATAATTAGGCCCAACGCTTTCTGCATCCGCGAGTACCTTCAAAAGGGAACAACAGTTTCCATTTATTACACTATGGGACATGTGACAAAATGACCACTGGAACACGCATGAAACGGAGCTCATATTCCTAAAAATGTCTACAATCACTTCTTTTCTGACACTATTAGCAAATACCATCTCAAGTTAGGTGGTTGACAGACAGTCAATGGAGATCTGGGGAGACTGAGTGATGCCAATTCACCACTTAACTGATAATGAGGGCCGAGGGAAGAGAAACATGCAACATGCACAACTGACAACTTGACAAGTGACAAAACACTACCACTATTGCACAGTGCACAACAAATTACAGCAGCCAGCCAAAAAAATGCTTTTGGTGGCTAATTGCAAAACAAGTCACTAATAAATGTCTTAGTTGCAGCTGAACACTGCACAATAATCACACTGTTCACACATTGAGTGAGATGCCACAGGTGGTTTGAATCACACTTTGGTTCAACTGCAAATCTGAAGTGTTGTCATGAGGTTCATGCCTCCATGATCACAGCACTTTGGTTGTGGTTGGCATAACACTTGTAGTCTGCAGAGTTCCACATGAACTGCAGACACCTCATCTGGTGGTCTTCATGTTGCTCAACTTCTTCAGGAGGCAAATGTCGACCACCCAGTGGAAGCATGGTCCTGCAGAAAAGAAAGGTAATGCATAAGGTACAAACATTATCTGCTGAAACAGCTCCTTCTGTTGGCTGTTATTAAACTTTTAACATAGGTAACATAACAACATGTATTCCATGTATATTACATTTGTTGAAGTAAAATACTGCTGGCTATTTCAAAACCAGAAAATGAAATTATATTGTGGCATAATTCACCTGCTCAGCTATTGGTATCAAATAATAATTAATTTAATATTTGGCATATTCTACATAACACATTCATAGAATATTCTACTTCACGTCACAAGGACTCAATCTTTCTGTTGGGTGTTTGATTGACGCATTAACTAAGTTAGTCTTAGGTTTTATTATTGCAAAAAATTCATATTGCATTATTGTATCAAAATACTGCCAGCAATAACAAAACAAGAACATGAAATGCCAATGAGCAGGCCGCCTTTCCTTAAAATGGATTACTTTGAAAGGAATTTTAGTTTCTTTTAAGGAAAAGGAGAAATGATTATCAGGTAATTATCAGAAAATCACTCAACCAGCAAGTGGCTGGGTGGTTTCACAGCAAACATCAAGCCAAAACATATACTTACATCTATCTAACAATTGAGCCATTTGACTACTACAAGGATATGTGAGAAAAATAAGAATTCAATTATCCAATGTTGACTTCCTTGCAAAGTTTATGCCTTATTTTTATGAAAATGTGTCACTAGAATATGATACTTATCATCGAATATTATTTAAATTACGATTTATTTCGATCGGAATGCACATGGAGTCCCGCGCCATTTTCGTCGACGATGAATATGATCGTGCTTCATGAAGAGCAAATGAAGAGATAAGGGGTTTCAATGGTCTTTCAAAGCAATAATTTGATGCAAAAATTTGTAGGAAATAATATGAAGCTGGTTCAAATGGCCATCAACCATTTAAAACACCGAAAATACTCACAACTCCGTCCCGACGACCACGCAGCACCGCGCACGCGACACCACTGGCACCAACTGGCACAATGCCAAAACTGCTGTCACAGCGGAAATGTTTTTTTCTCGATTGCAATTGTGGAATTATTTATTAAACAGAAGATGATCTTTCCGAAAAACCGACTGATTTCACACACAGATGCATGGAAAATAAAAAAATCCCGGTAAGTTTATGTGTATTGTTTTGTCGATTTTGACATGCTCCTAGTTTGCAGCCATATTTCGATATGTTCTACAGGGAGTTCAGAATTATTTCAGGACCAATCTTTTCCTCATTCATTTTCCCGTCGATCATGAAATTTTTAGAGCGGAACAATTGGTTTCCAGGCGGTCCGAGCGGTTTTCGTGAGAAGGGTGCAAAAATCGGCGTCATTTTTAGAGCCTCGACACCAGCTCAACACAGGACCCTATGGGAGACGGTGAAGTAGCGGGAGCAATAAATAGAGCGCTCTAATTTTAGCTTATTTCCCTGGTGTGTCACCGACTGAATTTGATTGAACTTATTTTCGGGCAGTAATGTATAGGTTAATAAAGAATGGCGTCTCGAGAAGTGTTTCTGGTGAAATGACCTCAGAATAATTTCCTGATATCCTCCTGAGACCTGAATTAGGGATGGCTATTTTGTGAACGTCGCCTATATGTAATACACAATATTTTTTTTCAATTGTTCTCTTTCACAAACGAGCACAGAGTCACCCAATTGAGAACAGTAGCATTTGGGTGCTAAGTTGTTCGTACATTAATTACCAGGCTGCCGTTAGACACCTTAAATGCTTATTCTGGCACTCAAGGTCACCATAGTTGCACCACATTAAACTGCATGAGTTAAAAGGTAGTCAGTATTTGGTTAAGGTTTGTAGTGCTTTTACATGTTAAAGACATTTTATCTCAATATTGTATGGTCATCTTTATCAGATGCTGAATGTGTATTCTTTTCAGATCAACAAGTAAAAAGAGGACTAATATTCCAAGAAACTTCAGACACCTAAGGAACTCACTATGTAAGTATAACTTTCATATTGATTTATCTTACTGCTGTGCTAATTGCTAACTCCCTCTGGCCTCTGGCTCTGTATTTTCACTTTTTTCCTTTTTGAAAATGCTTATGATTGAATTCAGGTATAAATTTTTCAAGTTTTTATTATTTTTACATGAGGAAGGTGGAGGTGTATGTATAAGCCTTAATCGAAGGTCACAAGTTGCATGGAAAGAGTGGCAGTAATTCAAAAATACTGTTAAAAATTTGTCAATATAGGCAACAAAAAATGCATATGGAAATATTTAAAAATAAATTGTATATTTATGTCTCTAAAGGATTTTCATTTGAAAGGTAAGGGTCTCATTGTAAATTTGTCTCTTCACAGGAGAGGCTTACAAATGGGAAGAATGCTTCAAAATGTGTCACTTGAGGGGAAACTTGTCTCCATGCTGTGCAAGACAAAGTAAATAACATTTGAAACTTGTCAATGCCAGACTAACATCTTTTGTCATGTAATTACTTTTAAAAATGGTGGAACAGTAGAGATTGGAAATCAAATAGGAAATGATAGAGGAACATCATTTGTAGTATGAAAATGATTGGTGGTTGTCCTTGCTTTTCACTTGAAACAAATTATTTATCAGCCTTGAGCAAATAGTTCATTTATGGCTTTTAATGAGCAGAAAAGCACAAGAAATTTGGTATTGGAAAAGTAATGTATTGCAATTAATGGGGTTATGTCTAATTCATGTCAAGCCTTTGAAAGCATTGTTGGAGAAGTGAACTACAGTTTTCAGTCTAATGGATATGTGAAGGTAGACCAAAAATTGTTATTTCAGCTCCAGTGGATGTATTGGCATTGAACTTTTGTCATTTGCCTCCTTCCTCAAAAAAAAAAAAAAATCATGACAAGGATTGTGTTTGAATGGCTGACAATCAACGAGCTTCTCAGCACTGCTGCAGCAGTGTCATATTACCATCATTTCAATGGATGGGCGCTAAATGACCTCGCAGTCGCTGCGCCCCTAACCTCCAACAAACAAACAAACAAACAAGCAAGCATCATTTCAGTGTAAATTGCTGTCGTCGCACCTTTTAAATCCCAACCAGTGTCTCTAGCCGGGAAATGTCTCCGATCGGAGATAAGTGTTACGGACCAGACCAGAAACACCGACGTTCTTGACCACAGTGCCAGCTATGGCAGCTCCAGCTTGCTGTGGAAGTCTCTTCTTTGATGCTGTGATGGTTTAAGATTGACAGGTTTTTGGTGGCCGTATGCCAGCTCTTAGCTCCGGTTCTACAGCATCTACTGGGGGTGCCCTTTATTTCATCAAGCCCATGTGGTAGTTAATGTTTTATGTGAATCTTGGGCGCTTCGAAGACAAGAATTACGGTTCTGATAAGCCCCAGGCAATACAAGTCCGGATAGCTGTGGGCGGGCCTCCCCAGGCTGGCTCAAGAGAGCCGTTGATTGATAAAAGTAACGTACTCGCTAGCCGCAATATGAGTAGGAAAAAGCATGCAATTTTCCAACAAACACGTAGAGGATAAAGAGCAAAGTTGACAACGGAGCTTGGGAAATGTTTCCCATGTTCCTCAGCCCTGGCCAGTAGCCACAGGTGCTCAGTTACACTTAAAACACATGCAAAGAAAATCCCACAATTGCGTTGTTCGTCCGAAGTAAGTCCGTACTGCCTGTCGAATATCAAAAGCTTTATTGATGCTGTAACTACCAGTCCAATATGGTCCCTGAATGCAGAAATTATCATAAGTTACTGAAAGCAAAGACATCCAGGAGAAATCTGCATCAAGTGGTTATTGCTGATACATAATTTCTATTCAGCTTTCCACCAGTACCTAATAAGCCCTTTTATTGATGAAAATACTAGCGCAGTTATTTTTGATCCAGGAAATACGACCTCATTTTGCCTTCACACATCAAGTCCATTGAAGTTTTTTGACATACCTCGTTGGTCATCAAGAAGTATTCGGTCTACATATCCACGGGCGCAAAATGACCTTGTAGCCGGCACGCCCTAATTAAGCCCTTATGAATAAACGATCTACGTATCCCACTCACTTCATGAACCTAACTACCATCATCTGTATGCTTTTCAAATCACCCACACCCCGGCTCCACTCCACCGCCCAGCGTCGTGACCCTTACCGTCCCCGTTCTCCGGCAGGTACGGCAGCAGCTACGGCAGTTACGGCGGCGGGTTCGGCGGCGGACGGATGGGAATGAAGAGCAGCCAGCCGGGCGGCAACCTGCGCCGGCCCGACTGGTCGTCCATCAAGCTGACACCCATTCAGAAGGACTTCTACCAGCCGCTGCCCCAGGTGCAGGCCCGCAGCCAGTCTGAGATCGAGGCCTACCGCGCCAGCAAAGAGGTGACGGTGCGCGGTTCGTCCGTGCCCTCACCTATGCTGGAGTTCAGTGACTGCACCATGCCGGATTACATCCTCAGCACCATCAAGTGAGTTGACGTGGGATGGTGTCGGTTCTTGGCTGGCTCGATGCATGAGACAGATAGACATGGAGTGCGTACTGTCTAATGTACTGTCCTCTGGCCATGGTTGGGCAAGGAGTCGGTCGCGCTAGACCGGTAATCCTAATCAACCGTGGCGATAGCATATCGATCCAGTACGATCCCAGGCTGTGCAGCTATCAGACCTGATTCATGCACTGGGCACAGTCTAATCTTTACACCGTGCAGTAGTGTCACCTTCATGTTCCTGTAATTTGATAGTATTGTGAGCTAGCCAGCAAATTATCCGGTCATCTACGAGGAAGAGTCGTTTTATATGATTAAGACGTCCGTATTTTTCTTATAACCGGTTTGTGTATTTGCCTCACGCCGGCCATTTTCCCGTTTCCAGGAAGAACGGTTTCCAGAACCCAACTCCTATCCAGGCGCAGGGCTGGCCGATCGCCCTGTCCGGCCGCGACATGGTCGGTATCGCTCAGACCGGCTCCGGCAAAACTCTCGGCTACATGCTGCCTGCCATCATCCACATCAACCACCAGGACTACCTGCGTCCCGGCGACGGCCCCATCGCGCTCATCCTGGCTCCGACCCGTGAGCTGGCCCAACAGATCTCCGAGGTGGCCAACGAGTTTGGCCGCTCGTCCAAACTGAGGCATACCTGTGTGTACGGAGGTGCTCCCAAGGGCGCTCAGCTTCGGGATCTGGAGCGTGGTGTGGAGATCTGCATCGCGACGCCCGGCCGCCTGATCGATTTTCTGGAGATGGGCAAGACCAACCTGCGTCGCTGCACCTACCTGGTGCTCGACGAGGCTGACAGGATGCTGGACATGGGTTTCGAGCCGCAGATCAGGAAGATTGTGGAGCAGATCCGGCCCGACAGGCAGACGCTCATGTGGAGTGCCACCTGGCCTAAGGAGGTGAGCTCGTGGGAAAAAAAGGTTTTTATTATGACTGTTGAACATTGTTGGCGTTGTGGTATGATTTCGTCACATTGCCATGGTTGGGCAAGGAGTCGGTCGCGCTAGACCGGTAATCCTAATCAACCGTGGCGACAGCATAAGTCCCGGTAGATCCCAGGCTGAGAAGTGTTATCAGACTTGATTCATGCCCGGGACACAGCTATCAATCACAACTCAAACAATCGCTGCCAGCTGTAGCGACTTTCGTTTGTTTGACTAGCTGTCCGTTGTTTGACGCGTTAAGTCTTATCATCCTTTGAGCTCATGAATCTTGAGGTCCTTGTCTCTAACGACTTGGTCGTCACGTCCTGTGGCAGGTCCGTCGTCTAGCGGAGGAGTTCCTGACCGACTACACCCAGCTGAATGTGGGATCCCTGGACCTGTCGGCCAACCACAACATCCTGCAGATTGTCGACGTCTGTGAGAGCCACGAAAAGTTCCAGAAGTGAGTAACCACTGGGGAGTTTCAGGAAAACGCGTCTTTGGGTCATTGAGTGAAGTTCCTAGACATGCCGTCTGCTAGCGCGAATAGGTTAGGTGTCTTCAGTGTTAGCTTTCTAGTCATACGAGAGGTTAATTATTCCGAGCGCTAGGGTCACAGTCATGCGAGATGTTTTTTTTTTTCATTCCGAGCGCTAGAGTCACCGGTCGGCGACACTACCGTGGCCGGCCGGTGCTAAGTGGCTCGTAAACGACCGTCCAGCGCCGCTAGACACCCGGCGTGCCAGCCACCGCGCGCCGGGTCACCGCGGAGCGCTACAGAGTCCGTACTCTGGGCAATATACCGCCGTCCGGGCACGGGAGGGGACGCTGGGAACAGCTGGCGAGCGGTGGGGGTATCGATCGGTATCGATTAGCTGCGCTAGTCTGGCTTCTCAGGGGAGGGAGGGGCGGGAGGACGTAACGGTGGCTGATTGGTATTCTGTTTATAGAACACGCCAGCTGCCGTAATTATCCGGTTTTGCTTCTACAGTGCGTTTGATCTACGGAGTTTCGTATCCATTTCAACACGCTTGCGTAATGTTCGTAACTGCGCAGAGATTGCGTAATGTTATTGCGCTGCCAACGATAACAAGTCTGCAGGGAGGTCAGTTACCTGGTGGTAGGGTCTAGTTCTAACCCATTTCTCCCTGTCCTTCCCCAGGCTGTTCCGCCTGCTGGAAGAAATCATGGCCGAGAAGGAGAACAAGACAATCATCTTCACCGAGACGAAGCGCGGCTCTGACGAGCTGACCCGCCAGATGCGCCGCGAGGGATGGCCGGGCATGTGCATCCACGGCGACAAGTCGCAGCAGGAGCGCGACTGGGTGCTACGGGAGTTCCGTAGCGGCCGCTCGCCCATCCTCGTCGCCACTGATGTGGCCGCGCGCGGTCTGGGTGAGTGAGACGGCGGCCGGGCGACCGCCCACCAGCCGGAGCACCAGTCGTCCATCCGTCCAGCGGGAGGAGGGGACGGCCGGCGGGTCGTCCCACAGGTCGGTCAGTCAGGGAGAGGGCCAGAGAGGTCGGCGGACAACGCCGCGACCGACAGACACCGCGCACTCTGCTTCAGTCTGGGGAGGCGGCACGGAGCCGGGCACCGCCGTCGCGGGCGCCTCGGCGCCGGCGCGGCCGCGTCTCTAGTCGGGTGTGCTGCTGGGAAACGTAGGCACGCCTGGAGAGACTCATTTCAATGTCACTGGTGCCTCGAGCTCTGTAGCGCCGCCGCCGCTGTCTCTGTCGCGCTCTCCGGGGCCGGCCGGTGGCGGCGGCGGCGCCTGTTGCTGCATTCCTTGCCGTGTGCGTGTGTGTTCTGTGTGGTTGTGGTGTGGGCGGGCCGGCGGATCGGCTCGGCTCGCGCCGTAACGGGCCGCCGTGCCGCTCTCTGCGATTTGTTGCAGAGACTGGCAGCGGTAGTCGTGGAGGCGCTCTGGGCGCCCGCCGGCCCAGCACTGTCGACCCGCCGGTAGGTACCGGGCCGGCTGGACAGGCGAGCCGGGGGCGCAGCCCTCTGCAGCGCCCGTCACCGGCTGACCGGCGCCCGAGCGACCTAGCCAGCTCAGCAGATACTCCCAGCCACCGCTCTAAATTGGGCCCGCCGAGGGCGCAGAATGGCTGCGCCCCCGGCCGAAGACAGAGTGGCATTTGACGGGAGTGCAGCTGGTGGTCAAACCTCCGCGCCCGCTGGAGATCTGGGCAGACTGACCGACTGGAAGGGGAACGAGAGAAGAGGGATGGCGGAGATGGGAGAAGGAGCTGGGTCGCGGGAAGGAAGTGGAATGGGGGAAGGAATGGCATGGGGTGGAAGGGAAAATAGGGGTAGATTTTGGGTATTTGCTATTTGTTTTATAATTCTGGTGGTGGGTTTCATTGGATACTTGGTGGACGAATTGTGCACTGATTATTCTGGGAAGGCACGGGGCATTATTCGGGGAGCTGCTGCCTCTACTGGCCGCCGAGGCGGCGGTCGCGGCCGACTGTGCCGCGGCCCGCGCTGGAGGTGCGTGCAGCCGGCCACCGGCGGCCGAGCTGTCAGCCGCCGGAGCTGCGGCCTCTGTCCCGGCCGGTCGGACGCCCAGGCAGAGCGCGAGGGAGGCGGGAGAGAGCGGGCGCGCACGGCTCACGTGAGTAGCAGCGCCGGGCCGCCGCCGGCCGGTAGCAGCTCTCAGCTGGAGACCTTCCCTTGGGACCGGGACGCGCCGGCGGCGGCGGCCCGTGTGCCGGGGGCGCCGAGCGAGAGACGGTAACTGACAGCTGCGATCGTAACTATAAACTATCGTTTGGTGGTCCCCGTAACCGTCGACCGCTTCCTAACAACCCCCACCTCCCATCTACAACAACCCATCGCTAACGAACGCTCCCGTGTGCCCCAGACGTGAGCGACGTGAAATTCGTCATCAACTTCGACTACCCCAACAACTCCGAGGACTACATCCACCGGATCGGCCGCACGGGCCGCAGCAACAACAGCGGCACCGCCTACACGTTCTTCACGCCGGAGAACGCGGCCAAGGCTCGCGACCTGGTCTCTGTGCTGCGAGAGGCCAACCAGGTGGTCAACCCGAAACTGGTCGACCTGCAGAACTCGAGCCGCGCCTACGGCGGCGGACGCAGTGAGTATAGACGCGTCTTTTATAAGGCAAGGGTATATACTGCAATGGTATTCAGTTTGAGAAAATAGCTTAGTGCATGAACTTTTCGGCAAGCTGAACCGCGTTGATGTTTCATAGATTCGTTTATCTGAAATGGTAAAGTCCGATATCGATTCCGCTGCGGGCCGCTCTTCTATCTAGGTTCGTAGTAAGTTCGTGGCCCTGAATCGTGTAAAACAGATTCGTCATTCTCACGTCCGCTGAGTTCCCTAACAGCCGACGTATTCAGGAATCTGATAGCGTTCGCCTGGCTCGACCCTCGGCCCTGTGCTATCACAGCGGGGACTGGTACGGGCCTGGCTACAGTCGCTGCTACTTATCTACTTTCTACTCCTCCCCTAGCTCTTTCCCTCCTTCCCTATCTCTTTCCCTCTTCCTCTCTCCCCTTCCTCCTTCCCCCAGTTTGCCGGTAACTAACGTCCGCTCTCTCCATTTCAGGCCGCTACGGAGGCGGCGGCGGCCGTCGTTCGGGCGGAGGTTTCGGCGGCAGCCGCGGAGGCAGTCGGTGGTGAGCAGTCGCCGCTGACTAGGTCTAGCCATTAAATGTTTAATTTTCACACTCGTCATGTCTCATTTCTGACGCGCCGCTGCGTCTCGCGGTGTGCCGCTCGAGTCGTACGGACGCGCCGCACATTCCCATTAACATCTGGATGGAGATGAACGGCGGGATGGGCCGTGCGGCTGCGCCTTACTGCGTGCAGTGGGAAGGCGCCCTACGGTTCTGTCTCGCCTCGTATAGCGGTGGGAAGCCCTGTCTTGCGTCGTGTGGCGGGCAGGCGCCCCTACGGCCCTGTCCCGCCCTGTATAGCGCCGGTCGCGTCCACCCGTACGGCGCCCTCTGATCTTCAGTGGTGTATTGATGTGATGTGGCTCCAACTGAGCCAACCAGCCGGCTGACCGGCTCTCAGAAAGATGGTCCAAGTACTGTGTCTGAAGGCGCGACCACCGACCGCCGCAGACCTATAGAGATAGTAGCTGCTGTTCGCCTGTGCACCGACACCTAACGCAGGCCACTCCGTACAAGGAAATACACGTTTTAAAACGAAACTGATGCGCTATGTTTTTTGGAGTGTAGGAGGGTTGGACGGAGTTAGCGGATTGGGAATGAGTGAACTACGATGATAATTATAGGAATTCTAACCGAAAGGTAGCTGAACCACATTCACACAATAATTACGGGAAGCATTTTTCTGCAGTTTGGATGACTATAAACGTCACCGGCTCGTAACCGTTAGCTCGGTTATTCGCCAGTTTGTTCATTCGTGCTGCGGTTCTACCCAGCCGAGCTCGCTTGTGCGCTGCCGACTGGCTACGCCGGGGTGGCGATGTGGCTAGGATAACTGCGCACGTTTACCATTCTCTATCGGCCAAACCGAGACCGCAGCCGGCCCATCCCGCTCGCGTCCTTTCCCTCCAAGGTCACCGACCGGCCTATCTGGGTCAGTGTCGGAGCCGAACAACTGCGCAGTTACACCGGATGGAAGATACCAGAACCCGCGGACGAGACGACCCGTCAGTTCCGGCAGATGGCGGCTGGTGCAGGGGAGCAAATAACAGACCGTGTGCCGTCACGGGACGCGATGACTTTCGGCATGTCAGTGACAGTGGGTCATGGTTGAAAATGTAAAGAGAAGGAACATAAAATTTGCATAGCGGTTGGACGGTTGGGTAATTGGGTTTCTATTTTCTGTTATAACCTTTGATAATTTTCCGGACAACTAAGTATATTAACTGATGAAGGCGATATTTTGTTAGGGAACTAATATAAGAAGTGAACTATTGTCATCAACTGGCAACTTTCTCCAAAAATCGATCTCCGATGGTCAGCCTGTTCTGTTTGAGCCGGAACACTAGCATTACTTGCCGTGGCGTGGAACCCAGGGGCGCCGAGTGCCCTTGAGACCCTGACCTTCAGAGCCGCGCGGCGGCGCGGCGGCCGGCTCTGCCAGGGTGCTCTGCGTCCTACCCCAACGTGCGTGCTAATGGTTATAAGGCGTTATTCAGTATTCACGCGTCTCTGATTATTTCCGGGCCCTGCTTCACGGCACGTCGGTAGCCGACGCTACCAGGCATTGGTGTCAGCGGTTTCCATGGAAACGTAAGCAGCATTGGCAATTCTATTTACCCTTTCATGAAAACTGAATGCCCAACCAGAACCAATATACCACCGTGCCTAGTGTTGGGTAGCACCGTAGCGGTGTGCCGTGAAACACGACCCTGTAAGCACGGAAGGGAGAAGTGTGAACCTTGTGCCTAGGAGAAGGCAACGAGAACGTTTATGCGAAGCATCTGGCTGTTTCCCGCCTCGACACAAAGTTGTTAATACCACATTCAGTACATTTTGAAACATAGGTCATAATAATGTATATTTCGTATATTTGAACAAAAGTGTATATTCGACAGACCCCGTTCACACGCACACAATCTGTTCGCAGTTCAGCTGGGTTATGAAAGACGGTCAAACTGCGATCACTCGGTTACACACACGCCAAACGCGGATAGGGGAAAAAATGAACACGGGTTGAAGGAGCGCCGAAACAGCTAGAGAAACGAGAAACGCGGCCTAAAAGAACGCGGAGTAAAATAGCGACCGAAAGCAACGAATAAAAGATAGAGATGAGATAGAGAGAGAGAGAGAGAGAGAGAGAAAGAGAGAGAGAGAGAGAGAGAGAGAGAGAGAGAGAGAGAGAGAGAGAGAGAGAGAGAGAGAGAGGGGGAGACAGACCGAACTTAGCACGACATTGATCAAATAGGAAAGTTGTTACGACTACGGAGAAAAACGAAGCTAGGCACAGACCTTTCCAACGCTTGGCTTCACACCAGAGCCGCAACACATTTTGATACTTGGCATGCGATACACAAGGGGTCGTAACATATTGTTTAAAAAGGTCAGCGGATACATTGGTTTCGCCCCGGGAAATAGACTGCCTCTTAGGGCGAGTTGGGCGATCTAGCGCCTGTGACAATACACACGATAAGTTTAACGCGACATTCAGGTCCCAAGTCACTACTCACTACATTGAAGCACTGTTGGCGACACAATTAAATGTGGGGAATTCAACCAGCGACTGACACCTCCAAGTTAAACAAAGCAATCTTTCACGCTAGTTAACTTCTGTACTGGCGAGCAAAATGTGTCCCAAACCCAGCTCACTCTAAACGCACGTTTCGGGATCGTTGTAGCTCACCACACAAGTCGTTTTCGGGCAGACCATACGTCTGAATCAAGCGCTGTTCGAAGAGCACCTATGAACCCCTTCAGCACGAAGCAAAAAGGGCGTAGGTAGTGACATAAGCGCACAAGAGCATGCATGCATGCATGCATACAGAAAACTCTCCACGCCTGCGGAGAACAGGCGATAGAGCGAATGATATAGCGCACAAAGTGCATCATGGATTCGCCCTAGGCCCTTTTATCACTCGCAGATCCGGTAGAAAACCCACGGCTCTGGCGAACAACAGGATAGCACAGACGGCTCGAAGCAGACAGCGGAAATCCACAGTGACACTCGCATCAAATGGGAGCCCGGGATCTTGAGCTAGCGACTCGAGATCCGCACTCTTAGCAGACGAGACATTTCACATAGAACACTCATACTGTGTGTTCGATGGCAATGATTCATTTCCTAGTACATAGAAGAAAATCACAGATACAACATCGCATAATAAAATAACTAGAGCAAGACCGATATGGCAACACGGAAAAAAATAGTCCCGCATGAATTCAAAACGCATTCTGGATTACTCCCAAAGATTCTGTGAAACGCCGCATAATGAACAAACGATTTGAAAAGAGACGCAGTGCATAGTCATGGTTAAACAAGACTAAGAGTAATTTACGTAAATGAGGGTAATACTGAGGAAGGATGAAGCAGGACGTAACAGCAGATCCCGATTCTAGTGGGTACAACCGTTTTCTAAACCGTGACCAACGACAACATGTAGAATGCTGCCACTAACACGGACCGAGCGATCTTCCCTCCTGCTTCTTTTGTGTGTTCTGGCTCATTGTAAGACCTACAGACTACCTCGCTTCCAGGGAAGTGACAGACTAATATGGTATAGATAAGCTCACAGGACAGAACAAGAGGTAGAATAAATAGCAAACTCAGTCATACGGCTTGGACGACAACTCGGAACTATCCACACACAAACAAACTCCGCGCAGTTATCGGGCCCCGCATGACTCTAGCAGCTAGAATCACACTACGAGGCCTAACCATCATAGCGATTGCGAATACACAAAATTACACCGCCTAAATATCATAGACTCGATCGGACTGAACGCACGGCTCAGTTGCGCTCAGGAAGTCATCCCACCAACATTGGTCCACTCACAGCGACTCGACAAGGGGAGAGCGCTAGTGACGCCCTGTGGGCTACAATCGGGGAAGGCCCTTTCTTCATCCTCGGTTCCTTCATCGCTACAACCTCCTCCTCAGAAGCAGACAGATTTACCGTCCTAAAGATCACTTCTGAATCCGTTGTGGCACTTCCCTCGGTCTTAGATCGCTTCTCTGTCAGACCTATCCAATACTGTCCCACCAATGATTCCACTCCTGTCTGGCCTATTCAATCCAATCCGACCCAATCCAATATCCCGTCGAACATATCCCACTTCTCATCTGTGCTCCCGTACAACTCAGCCCTCCTAAATCCCACCCGACCTCCTAGTTTCAGTCCTCCCTCCCAATCAATCCTCCTCATAATCCTCCACCAGCCCATAGCTCCTGCGCCGAGTCCTCCCGCGCGGTAGGATGGCGTCCGATTCTGCCCCGGCGGTAGCTCCCGCAGAGCCCGTGGCCCTCCGCGCCCCGCCCGGCCACATGCTGACCAGCAGGCGGCGGCCGAACGAAGGCGGCGCCGCCGCCTCGCCCGGCTGACTGAAGTCGAAGTCGGCTATCTCCAGGTTGTAGCTGAGGAAGAGAGGAGGGTTGGTAATTACTCATTAGTAATTTGTATATAATAATTTGTTGGTGGTGATTTTATCAATGTTTAGCAGATTACTTTATATTAATTATGCCCCTTGGCCCTGACTAAATAGTTCCCTTACTTAATTTCTCTTTTATACATTGCAACAACTTTATGAAATAATATTTTCGGAGTTTCTTGAGTGATATAGGTATATTGAAAAATTGATAGCAAATATTTCGATACTCGTAGTGGTACCTTTTTCAGAAGAAACTCCGAAAATATTATTTCATATTCATTATAACTTGAGGAAAAGGTAACATGACTCTTAAGTCATACATTGCAACAACTTTGTTATAGTTCGTTTTTCTTAAGTTTGCCCCTCACTGTAAACGTCTTTTTGAACATAGCACGAGAATTGCTAGCTGAATTACTGAGAAAACTGGTTGGCGCACATTGATTTGACCAGATTTCACAGACGATCAATTTCATCAAATTCATTTACTTAAATATGGTGATGAAATTGACCAGTAACATGGCAGTAAGATGTATTTTTAAATAACAAAATGAGGCCGAAAATATAGAACGAGCTTTCGTCTTACGACATGTTACTGGTCAATTTCATCACCATATTTAATTATTTGATCATGGCAAAACCGACCATTCAATACATCAAAAATTCATTTACTATATTTCACAGACTCTTAGCTCGTATTTGCCAATACCTACAGCCCCACAGGGATAGACGACTTCTCAGGAATTATGTCTGAACTAATAAATAAATTGCACGGCGCTTAACATAACGTTAAATTGTTGGTGTTCAAAACTTATTTTTGAAAATATTATTCACATCTACAATACACTGTGCGCTAACCAGTTTTCTCAGTAATTCAGCTAGCAATTCTCGTGCTGTGTTCAAAAAGACGTTTACAGTGAGGGGCAAACTTAAGAAAAACGAACTATAATTGGTGCGCTTTTATCATTAGACGTCGCATTTATGGTTCATACCTAATTGATAAGCAAATCATGAGTTCAAAGTAAGTAATTTTCTTACAAATCCAAGTACCCTGCAACTCTAAGATTGGGCTTATATAACTCAATCCCTCACTATATGATATCGGATTGATTTAGTTCACCCTTTTCAGTTCTCCTAGCGCAGTCTCAATGTATACGTCTGGCCGGCCCTGTCGAACAATGTAGGCACGCGGCAGAGCCCATACTCACTCTCTGTTTGATTTGATCAGTTTGATTGATCCGAACAGGATGAAGGCGATCGCTGCCAGTGCGCAGCTCAGTGGTATGATATAGTACGATAGTTGCGGACGGCGAACCGCTGCGGAAAAAAAGAGGCAGCGGAAACATGGTCAACATAGACACTAACACAAACAAGCGCAGCTCAGTGGTATGATGTAGTACGATAGTTGCGGACGACGAACCGCTGAGAAAGAGGATACAGGGTCAATATAAACAAACACAGACACACACAAACATATAAACATACGCAGCTCTGTGGTATGATGTAGTACGATAGTTGTGGCCGTCGTACCGCTGATAAAGAGGATACCGGGTCAATGTAAACAAACACAGACACACACACAAACATATAAACACGCGCACCTCAGCGGGATGATGTAGTACGAGCACGATAGCTGCGGGTGGACCGCTGTAAACAAGAAATAACAAGGTCAGTCACATGGACACCATACACGGAGACGGACACAGGGATACAGAAACACAGACCCACATGTCACACAGGGATACAGAACAAGCGCAGTTCAGGCGGTAAGATATTTGGGATGTGCATAATTACTGTATGATAGACATTCGGTTTTATGCATACCTGACAGTCTCATGAAGATCACTTATGTGAATAAGTTCATAGGAAAAAAGGATTTACTGTGAATATGACATCAGTAGCCTTCAGTCAATTCAGTTATCCCCCTACGAAACTGAACACTAAAACGTTTGGGCTGGACTCGGAGTTAAATAGGGTATCGGGGTCTTGGGGAAGTGACATCAACTGGTTATCGTGCAGTGCACATTTCCGCTGCTTGCAAGATGCATACAGCAAAATACCATCGGAGACTGAAGATACACGATCACTGATCAATCAATGCCAGCTATGCAGTTTTACCGCGGCAAACTAACTACAATAGCGAGCGTCGTTATGTAACCTGGCAGAGCCGGGCATGGTCAATGCACCGGTCATTGTACTGGTGTATTGACCAAAAAGGACTCAGGTTGAATATTTGTCAGCTATATAGGACGTTATTCAAAAGACAAAAGAAGGAAGGGAATTTGCTGAGTGAGTGACAGAGAGAGAGAGAGAGAGAGAGAGAGAGAGGGGGGCGAGGTAGCTCTCTCTTTTTTAGTTACCTGTTTTAAGGCCGCCACACACTGGACCTCGCATGCGGGTTGCGAGTTTGCGGGTTTTGAGTTTGCGGGCATAATACTAATTCATAGAGTGATTAGACCGTTCATTTATGGTAACTTCACGAATGCAGTGAAGCCCGTACACCTTCAGAAAATTACATATAGTCGCAATACCAGCGCAACGAACCAAAATTCGATTCCAACGAAAAACCCGCAAACCTCGCAGAACTCGCAGCGAGGAAAATCGAAAATCGACTCAAAATCAACTTTTGGAATGCGATGCAAGGTGGCTCGCAAGCTAAAAACATGCGGACTCGCTTGTTAGATGGTAGTGTGGGTTATGACTCGGCTTATATTGTATTATTTGATTTTGAAGAAACCCGAAAACCCAAAAACCCGCAGCCCACAAGCGAGGTCCAGTGTAGGGCGGCCTTTAGTAGTAACCGTCACTGCAGACACACTGATACGCAAGGACACACATTCGGTAACACAACGGAGGGCCTGGTGACTACGGTTCAATGCACTTATGGCATATGAAATGGAGTACCAAAGGAGAGGGTAAACAGCGTGGATAAGAATATAATGCTACAGCCAGATACATAAACGTAAATATGGCAGGCTATTTACCCGTGTAGATAGCAATTCCCACAAACATACTGTTCGGCCCTCTATAATTTACCTGTGTAGACAGTGATGGCCACGGGCGTGACTCGCCGGCTGACGGCGTTACTCAGAACGCTGACCGCCGTATAGGTGCCGTTATCCCGCAGGTAGCGCAGAATCGGCACCGTGCAGTCGTCGGTCGGAATCGGGTTCGAACACGTCTCGTTACCTGGCGTGAGAAGACAGAACAGAGTTTAGAGAAGAATGACATTCAGAAGAGAATGGCTTTTAGAACAAAACGGTGAACAGAACGATGTCAGAACAGGCCAGTGGAGAAAAACGGCGTACAGAAAAACACACAGCAGTAGCACAATAATACAGCTAGAACGGCGTCTGAACAGCAGCGAAGCGGAAAAGTTAGCGTAACAGAGTGATGTCAGCGAGACCAAATTCCGACTACATACTAACATCCATAACAACACCTCACGGCTCACCACACGAATTCCGAAGAAGGTTATGAACAAAACAGTTACTATATAGTACCGCCTACCAAATAAACAGTGCTAAGTCTGCCAAAAAGCGAGAGATGGGTTCGAATCGGATCTCTTATTTATGTTCACAACATCTCAGGTGTCAAGCCATAGATAACAGTAGAACTACTGTTCTATGGCTACTGTAGTTCTACTGTACTGTAGTTCTACTGTAGTTCTACTGTAGTTCTACTGTAGTTCTACTGTAGTTCTACTGTAGTTCTACTGTAGTTCTACTGTACTGTAGTTCTACTGTAGTACTAACTACTCTAGTAGTTCTACTGTTATCTATGGTCAATCATAGACCTCTGTCTGATCTATGTGCCAAGAAAGCTGAACTGGTTTGACCAGACATTCGATCGCTGTTATCCCTCATCGACGAGTTGCAGACCCCTCTGTGACGTCACACACTACACAGACCCACCTGTGACGTTGTATCTGCCGGTGTAGACTTCCATGCAGTACTCCCAGGGTCCGGTGTGTTAGACCCCTTTGTGACGTCACGGACCCACCTGTGACGTTGTATCCCGGTGTAGAGAGCCACGTAGTACTCCCAGGGCCCTGTTTCACCCGTGATAGCAGCACGCTGCTTTTACACGTGTCAAATTGGGTTTCCATGGAACATCAAACAGGCCCATTGCTCCAACACTACCACAAGTGTGACGTCAGCTCGCGCAATTTGATAGCAGCGTGGTAGCAGCGTCCCGTAAACACCGCCCAGGCCCATTGCTGTTAGAGCTGATCCTCATGACGCACACAGACCCACTGTGACGTTGTATCTGCCACGCAGTACTCCCAGGGCCCAGTGCCGTTACAGCTGGACCAATGACGTCAAACCACCTGTGACGTTGTATCTGCCGGGTAGACGCCACGCAGTACTCCCAGGGCCGGCGTTTACCAGCTGGCCCCCTTGTGACGTCAGAAAACACCTGTGCCGTTGTATCTGCCGGTGAGACGGACACGACAGTACTCAAGGGGCCCGGTACCGTTACAGCTGGCCCCCTTGTGACGTCA